GACGGAGCTCTCGGGTCAGTCGCCGTCGAAGTTTGCGAAACTGACTCTTCTTCCCCAAGTCACTGGGGTCTGCGACATGTGCAGCAAATGCTGCATTCTTCTCTGACACCAATGCGTCAATCGTCACATTGTTGTCATCAAACCAATCAGGCCGCTTACAGTTTGCGCGCCGGATATTCTCCTCGGCAGCGGCTGTCACATGGTCGCGAATGTGGTGCCACTGGTCGCCCACTGTGGCTATGCAGTCCACATCACACAGGCGTGCAGCCATCGCCTTCTCCAGCTCAGTACGTTTCGCCACAGTACCGAGGGAGAGGATGTTTAAATTTACGCCGAATCACGGCGGGAGTGCAATACATCGATTTACGAAAATATATGTACAGTTTGGTCCGAACCAACTTGTGATCAGTGCCACACTCAGCTCCACGCAGTACACGTGTCATGCGCACTTCACGCATATCACGCTGACGTACGATGACGTAGTCGAGCAGGTGAGCGTGACCACTCCGTGGGTGCGTCCAGGTTGCTATGTCATTCGCACTCAGTGCAAACCGAGTGTTCGTGATCGTCAGGCCGTGAGTGGCACACAGTGAGAGCAGCCTGTCACCGTTCGCATTCGCTGAACCAATGCCATGCGCACCGATAACATCTGTCCACACCGATGCATCACGCCCAACGCGCGCGTTGAGATCACCCATCAGAAATAGTCGGTCGCTCCTCGGCACAGACCGTATCACGGAGGATAGCTCAGTGTAGAATTGATCACGCGTGTCATCAGGATAACACATGGTCGGACCGTACGTGCATATAAAAGTAGCAAACTTACCTCTTCCGAGTCGTAGGCGAACGGTCATCAGTCGCGCGCTGATGCCCGTTGGTTCACCCACCAGCTGGCCATGGAGGCGATCGGATATTGCAAATCCGACCCCATGTTCACGTGGTACTGAAGTGGCGTTGCCCACCCAGTAGAATGTGTAGCCAGCACCTGCTTCATGCAACTTACCTTGCTCAGCGAGCCGGGTTTCACTGAGCGCCGCAATATCGATGTTGTAGCGCGCCAGCTCCATCGCGACGAGTGCAGTGCGTCGCTCCGGGCGCTCGCTGGAGTTCCGGTCCAGCAGTGTGCGCACGTTCCAGCATCCGATGCTGAGTGCTTTACGCTCAGGCATACGATTGCATTGGTGGGCAATCGCACGCGAAGTGGTCGTTGTGCTTCGGAGGTTTGCTTGAGGGACTCTGCTCGGAGTCTTTGGCTCAATAGGCTTACCCATAGGGCAGTGGGTGGTTTGGAGGTTTGCTTGAGGGACTCCGCCTGGAGCCTTTGGCTCAATAGCCTGACCCAAAAGGCAGTGGGGAGCAGATCCAGCTCGGGAATGTGATTGCAGAGACAGATGGGGATCTGCTTGACGGCCGTCCCACGCAGCCTTTGAGGTACTGGAACAATTATTATATGTTTTGCGACCGTGGTAGGATACGCACCTGCGACCACGTCCAGACGCAGGTGGGTTTTGGCGGGTTTGCACCAATTTGACCAGGGGTTGTGTGGCATGAGGCGGGCAGTCGCAAACCATTGAACACCCGGACGTGCCCTTCCACCGTCAGAGACAATGCGTGACACTCGTGTTCTACGCCAATCGAGTTGTGAGCTTATAACCCGTAGATCTGTTGTCTCCCATGGCTAGGTTTTACGGGAAGATGGCCATCGATCACTTCCTAACCTCCGAAGAGGATGGACTAGGATACTGCCAGGGCGCCCAATCCTGACAGGAGGACGACTCGGGTCCTCAGTCAAAGTCTTCGATTAAATGAACACCCGAAAGGCAGCGGGTCTAGCACATGGTCAGTTAGGTGACTCATGCGGATTGGTGTCCTGGATCTTAGCAGGGAGAAGGGCGAAACCCAACTCCCCCCCCAGCGGTCGCCACGAGGAGGCGCCCAGGACGTTAGACTATGGCACAACAGTAGCAGCAATGGGTAGACCATCTGTCAGGATCTAGCCACCACCAGCCTCAGCGCACCATAGGCTCTCCCGCCGGCTCCGTTGATGAAACGTGGCTCCCATCCGCATGCCTCCCGGTCTTGTTCCTTCGTGTTTATACTGGATATGGGGTGTGTGGTTGGAGCTGTGGGTGTTGCGGCGCAAGCCACCCATGGTCCCTCTGTAGGCGCAAGCGTCCTGTGGCTTGCCACAGTGACAGGCAAGTCCGAAACCTAATGCCGCCAACCGTATATATATACATATACATACATATATATATATATATATATATATTTCTCTACGGAACACATGAGGTGATATGCATGATCTAGTGGATAGTGAGAGCTAGTTCCAAATCCATGCATAAATAATGAGGGAAATGTTTACACGCAGACTGGTGTGCATCTTTGAAATTGACAGTGTGAATTTTTATTACGAGTAGGGTAGCTTTCTGTATGTTGTAGTTTGGGGGAGTGTTCGGTTGCATCTGTGCACCTATGAATTACGTCGAAATAGAGCGCTATGTTTAACTTCAGCCCACGTAGCCAAATCGTCAGCGTTCAGGCTAAAATAATCTGTGTAGCCCCCTGGATCTGTATTTTGAAAGCATACTGATCGCGCGCGTTGCATTGCTGAATACCATGGAGCAATGCTCCAACGTTGCGCTTGTACGAGTCTTGTACAGTATGTGTTTGGCACTTATTGAGGTAAAGGATCCAAAATATATGGCCTTTCTGGCTTTGGTGAGGGTGTATTTTTCATGCTCGGAGAAGTTCGGCATGTTAGTATAGTGAAGCCCTAAGTTTCTTTCTTGGTTGCTACAAGCAAGAGACTTATCAAAGTAATGTTAACGGTTGTGTTTTTATATCACATCTCTGATATATACCATTATTTTCACCGTAGAAACTCATTTTTGAGGCACTGCACTATTTTTCAAAAGCATACATTTCAGTTTGTACCTTTTTAATGATGCACTACTGTTCCCGGGAATCAAACAAAATTTGCTATCGTCTACGAACCTATCTGCGGCCTGTCGTAGACAAAAACGTCAAAAATCTCGCTAATGTAAATGAGTAAAATAAGTGGTCCGAAAACACAGCTTCGGGTGACGCCATATGTCACTGGGCTGCGAGGGAATGTCTAATTTCCTATTTTGACTGCTTGCGTTCTGTCAGTAATGTTTGGAAATAACCAAGAACGTACAGAGTCAGTGATACTCTAGCCTGCTAGGGTCGTCAAAAGCCTACCACATGGTCAAAGGCCTTCTGCATGTCAAGGAATATGATAATATAAGCTTCACCCTCGTCGACTGAGTTTGTGATGTAGTTTACGAAATTTTGTTGGCATGATCAACAATAACGCTTGTAATAGAATCATACTGTTATATTGGAAACTGGGAAGTCTTAATCTTTATTATCCTCTCCATAATTCTTATACTTCATCGGGCGGTAATTTGAGTAATCCCGTTTCGATTCTTTTACATCCGGGCACAACTTCAGCGGAACAGTGCTGGCTGTCGTGCTTAATAAAGCTGTTCGATTGCTATTAAGGCCACCATAAATGGTCGCCTTTATGGCACTGAGTGATTTCCTTATTTCCGCTATGGGAAATGCTATTGTCCACAATGTGCTGTTTTGTACTGTTCATTGGTATTGCTGTTGAAAAGCGCACGAAGATCCTCAACCTCCGTTGAATTGGAGGCTAACAATGATCGTGGTGCCGTTATTTCTACATCCTCCTCGTCTGAAAAGCCTTGTAATCTTCGGCTTATTTGAGTCTACGAGAACTAGTTTTTTCTCCATAACATCGTCTCTCGGCTCGCCTGGATTCTAACTTTCAGTGTATAGTATGGAGCTGACATCATGGAGGATATTATTAAAATGCTGACTAGTTGGCCGATTTTCTCTTTAGTACGCACATGATTGTCCGTAGTAGTGTTAACGTGTTTCTTTGGCAAAATTGAAGCGATATTGTCCAAAATTTTGTTGCTAATCAGATAAAATATTACCAGCAGTAACTTCTGGGTCTCATGTAATGACGTAACACCTCATAGATTTTAGTAGCGTTGCGAACGTGTCCTAATCTATTGAGTGGTATGGCTGGTAGAATATCATTATATTCTGTCTCGGATGCTTGTGCGCGCAGAGCGGAATTGAATAACACGACGTTTGATCACTGCACGGAAATTCGCCCAAGATCGTAACATTCTTCTCGGGAATCCCCGAAGAGAAGACAAGATTTGAACGGTTGTCATTTCGTGTTGGCGTCAAAACGTGTTATGACCAGTTGAAAAAAATACAAACAGTTTGAGTGGGGATGTATAAGTGTACCAGGACACTTCTGGTGTATTTGAGTCCTCTCGACTGGTTTGTACTTTGCCGGATGGTCCGTGATGCAACCGAAAATGTATTCACACGTAAAAAGATTAATGTTTTCAAGTCCTACGTCTGAAAAGGTGGACTAAATTGCCTTAAACAGATGGAAGGGTAGCAACGTAAGCTTCTAAGGGCTAAAGCATATTCATCATGATTAAACTTAGGCTGATGACCGCTACAATTTTGTTGCCTTACCGGATAGTCATTTCAGCGTTATGCATCCGGCTGATGGCTGAAGCCATGACGTATCTATCTTGTGACCTAGAGGTCAACAGTTGGAATTTGCCTAGCTGCGGATGACCTTGTATCATCTCTATCGCAGCCGCGCGCCACTGGTAGTGGTGGTATGGTAGCGGATCGTCAATACGGCACATTTGTATACTGCAGGTACCTTTCTTTTCTTTTTCCTGAACCCATTGGCATCAGGTTCTGCGTTGAGGTCAATGGGCCACAGTCTCGTGTTTTTTCTCTTTTCCGAGATTGCGACTAATTCTATTAGGCCAGGAGCAAACCAAATATCCAACGAGAATAGGCGACCCGCTTACTACATATTTCTTTAGGAGGTTGGTTTTCTATGGCCCAACGCGCACATTGACTCTTCCTTCGTTAATCATACATGTAACTTTCATTATTCTCTTTTTTGCAAGCTGCAGCTTGGAAACAAATTGGCTACATCAAGAAAACGTTTTATCCTGCCGTCGAATGATTGTGCCGAGAAGACGCTTCGTGCTGATGCACGTCCTTCATCTCCCCAGCCTTCCGTTCACGTGATCTGTTCGAGTATCAGATGGAAAATATTGTCTGTCTACTTTCACCACTGTAAGTGTTTTCTCATGACACTGTCCTGCAGCTCTCGACGCTTTCATTTTATGTTACAGTCGCTCTTCATCGAGCGGTGTTCTGGTGGCAGCTGAAAGTGCGCACCACGGCGGACTAACTTCTATGACGCATGCAATAACGCGGGACATCGGTGACCGGGGTTGGCAGTTGAAGTATCGCTTTTCTCGCCTTGCCAAGCAATTTAAATGCGAGCGTTTTCCCGCCAATCAAGTTGGCATAGTCTGTGCGTATTTGCAAATCGATCGTTAGCGGTGAGTGAGCCCCAGGTAAACCCGGAGAACGATTCTTACTGCTACAGGGCTTACTTTTATATACAATTCAGGTGTTAGCAACCGAGCTACATTCGGATTGGCTCTTTTACAGTGCTGTGCAGGTTCACACTGGTTAGTGTAAATCTTGCCCCGCCAGGATGATCGGTTAAGCAGTTTATTCCGTTTGCCGTTCAGTTACCACATTATGCTGTCTCAATTTGCGGTTTCTAATCTACCAACTATATCTCCTGTCCATCTGCTAGGCACAGGACCGAGGTCACTATGCGGAGTGATGAGGTCGAAAAATACCACTGCTTTTTTCCTTCACTGAGATATCCTGTATCGGAATTGCATGCATTGATCATCATGTCGCGATTGGAGAAGAGCTTTCTGCCAACTGTTGGCCCGAAATTATGGGTATGATACGTGGACTACATTTTTGTGATACGCAAACGCTGTCAGCTGCAAACAGCGCGAATGCTATCGAAGGACATAATTGTTTGTATCCGTTTCACAATGGAACCAGAGGTGGAAAACAAACTTGGACGTGCTACTTATTACGACTGTAGGCGGAGAGCTACAATGGTCTGTCTACAGAAAAGACACCTACGACGATCAAATTTTAAACTTTTTCAGGAACTATCCGTGTTGCCACCAAATAAGCTGCATACTCTCATGGAGTTGAATGCCACCACAATACCGCCGAATCAAAACAGAAGGAAGAGAAACACTTGTTTACGTACTTCTTGCGTGGCGGCTATCCACGCAGTTTTCTCCGGAGGCACTTACACCACTAGACTACAAATGCTGCACCTAAACTGGTAACTATTAAATGGATCGTCTTTGTGTATAAATGAATAAACGTTTATTCTCGGCAGTGCAAGACACGCCCGTTAATGCATTATCGCGAATGCCAGTTTTGTACAAGACATTGAACACAGGGTGATTAGGAAAATGTACGATAACAAAACATTTTTGGCATAGCGATAGAAAGGGTGGACACATCGGGTGTTATCAAGAACGCGGTCTAAGGATTCAATCAATGGGTAATATCGGTAAGACAATAGGAAGGTAGAAATGTGGTGATAGTAACAAGAGCCATAACAGATTCATGATGACAGCCAGACACTTCAAGCCCCACCATCTTATGGTAGCCCACACACCAACTACCACTCTGAAGCGAATCATGTCTAGACCTTGGGCACACGAACTCCGAAGTTTCAGTGCAGGATACAGTGTCAAAATTGTGCTAAACTGTTGTGAATCTCGGAATAGGGCTGAATACTTGCTTGGTTTCTTCTTGAGAGCGCAGAAGCGAATGCCATAGCACAAAATGCATTTACACACTGAACACAAGACCGGGCGATACGAGGAGAACACCCGGAACCAATTGTTTTACAGTTGGATACAATTTTGGTTAATTAGGAACCCGGAGGCCTGAATGGTGTAAATTTGTGTGAAACAGGCGGGGGGAACAAATATTTCACAACGCGAATCGTACGATGCGATTATTCTGACACAAAACATGGTCTCATGCAAAATGACAAAACTGTTTTCTGAACGGCTCGGGTCAGACGTATCTGCTCCAACGACTGCCTAGATTGAGCTGGTCACTAAAACGCTTTTGGAGAATGGCTACCCAAAGCGATTCATAGACAAACGAAGCCAGGTTAGACCGCCTAAAGAAATTTTGTTGACAGCCCCAAAGAAAAAGGTATACATCGAACTACCATTCAAGGTTGATACCGCAGCAAGAAGGACAACTAAACGCATAGTCTCGGCCATTCAGCGTTACTTATCAAGAGAACCCGAAATTTGCGGTTACCTTCATCAAAGGAACATGAACCTGTCGGCACCAAAGCACGTTGTACTTACCGATTCGTGTGTGACTGTGGAATCAGTTATATCGGCAGAACCGAACGGGCTTTGTATTCCAGAGTGAAGGAACACTTACCAAACTGGGTTCAGCGCGAAGTTACTCAATCCACTTCCGACGATACGCGCTCGCGTAGGCCGCCGGTGTACTGCATAGGCAGGCACATCTTAGCGACTCGTCACCGGATTAATCCCTTATCGGCGTTCCGAATCTTGTGTCATACAGTTTCATACCTGTTGCTATCTACCGAGGCCGTCTCGATGAGCCGAATCAGACCAGCTTTATGTGTCCCAAAGCAATTAGTCGTCAACATGCGGTTGCCGTGGTCCTACTACCAACAACAATAACCACGACGATAAATTTGATTGGCTTGACTCTACCCTATGCGATTTATAAAGCGATTTCCGAGTTATTGTGTCGCTATTCACGAGATACTACGAAATGCTAGCATCTGCCAATATTCGTCTTTTCAATTCATTGTTCAGATAATAAAGAGAACAAACGAGCCTACATTAACTTTTACGCCTCATCGTTGATTTCAGGGCGAAACGTTTATTCTAATCTATGAAGAGACAGGAAAAGGCGATAATTTCTTGATACATGATTCTATACAGCGAATTTAATCAACCTGGCAATCGACTTCGATCTTGTATATTAAGAACTGAGGAGAACAGTAATCGGGCGGATTAGAAACCGCGGCTTGTGGCAGCGAAATGTTACGCTCGAACTAACAAACGGTTATACCCCAAAGGAGCATGCTTCACCCCAGTCAATTATAAGGATACGAGCACCGGATGAAGCTTGTTTACTAACGTCCGAACCGCATCTCAACGTCATCGGTGTAGCCGCTATCATTATTTTCCGAGTTCGTCTGAGACGCTGCAACGAATGATCATTTAGTAAAGATGCGCTGATTGTGTCGCTTGGGTTATTGATGAAACGCATGCGACAAAATTGTTCAGTTCAGTAGACAAATTACCGCCTAGGATGTTTTTTGAAGTTTCTATTTCAACAATCAAATGTTTCTTTTGCTGATGTGTCCCAGCAACTCAACAGCCAGATTGTCTGAACCCCAATCTGGAAATGTACCAGACAATCGTTTCGCCCTGTTGTGGTTCGTCAGTGTTGGGGATTTCCTCAGTCCCCTATAGGAGACCGAGCAGTTGTGCCAACTATCCACTGAGTCATGGGAGACGGTAGTAGACCATCATGACTTGCAAGCTAGTAATCACTAGCAATCAGATACATTTATGGACAATCTATTTTATCCCACGTTTATCAATCGAAATCATTCCTAGCCCTCATCTTGTCCGTATGCACATTGTTTCTTAGCCTGAATTTCAGGTATCTGTGCTAGCTTCGGAACCTGACTGTTGATGACCATTGGCTATTTTTTTGCCCTCTTTGATGAGCAGCGGCTAGGAAGCGTTCTCCGATTAGTGTTTGTGTGAGCTTAGTTTATTTTATAAGAGGATTATCAGAAGTACGTCAGCGCACCTTACCGACGCTTCGCTGCCACGCGACCATGGCCTGGGGTAATCCGCATCTACGCAAATTCGAACCAGTGACCTTTGGATTACAAGCCAGTTGTCTTATCCTTTCGGTCACCGGTCGGCACACCAGTCTGAGCGTCATCCATCATGCTCAATTCACAGAGGTCCTATCGTGACATAGTAGCTGGGGTTGCGGCACAGTAGCTGTGGCGTTTCCCACATCTAGCTAACGTGTACAATGCTGATGATTCTATCATGGTTAGCTCCTCAAGCCAGTCTTATGTGCTTTGTATAGGTACACTGAATTTCTTTTATTCATGACACGAATCACGTAGCTTACGAGGCTTATGCTTCTGGACTCGGTTGTTTACGGTCTACCAGCTCTGTTTATTTTACTCCTCGCTGACCACAGAAATGGCGATGTACAGATTCAGTAGCCTAATAACCGTTTTTCCACACTGTTGCTTGCATACAAATCTACCTTTTCGCTACCGTTTCCGTCGTCTAACATGGAAGATTTTTCTGCCTCTGACTGTCAGAGCGGCTCCGCAGGGATTATGTGTATGGCCCATGTAACCGCTTGGGTTCTCCAGCGACCAAGATCAGCATGACAATTCTGCCGCGCGTTCATCGCCATACTCGATGCTCTTTTGTTAGCTTCAGCAAGTGGTTCTGAAATACACTCCTATCGATAAAAGACATCAAAACTATGGTCCAACTTGACAGTGGTCATCTTGTTTGATGTTTGAATTCCACGCCGTTTAGTACACTGCCACGTACACAATCCATGGAATTTCCATGCAGTTCTGTGCACATCTTCCACAAATAATTCATCTTTTACAGTAACTGCCCTTGTGCTTGATTTAGCGATTGTTGCCCTGTTAGTGTTGATCAATATTAAAGACTAATGTTTACACAGCATCACTTTTCCAGAGTGTATGTCGGAGACTATAACTCTACTTTCTTTGGTCTACTGCTTCTCGACTGCTGTTCAATCAAGTCCATAATTTGCACTGTGCACCCACGAATAGTGAATTTTCAGCGCACCCACCTGTCTTTATTCCTAGAGCCAGGCTATCAGGTAAAACTCCTGTATTGCGGTCTGCAGTTTACCGCATTAGTTGCGCAAATCGTTTCGTAAATGTCTGCGTTTTCACTTGCATCATCTTTTACTTTAACGCGTCTGCATTTTCAAAGCGTACCCCTAACAGCTGTCACCTGCTGCAGTCCTTTACCCACCCATGTGTCACCCTGCCTATCGGTCGCATAGTAAATGTGCTCTACTCTGTCACAGACGTTCACATCTTTTCATCCAGGTCAGTCATTCTACACTCATTCGAATCGAGTTAACTTCTCGTA